ACAGGCCCGATCTGGGCACTTCGACTCCCAGAATCGTTCAAGAGAGACAGACCGGCAGCCAAGAGGAAAACGCACATCAAGGGAAAGGTCTATGTGAAGTATAAATTAGCTTCACGGAAGTTCACCTGATTGGTGTCCAATCACTTACGACCAGGGTTAAGAATCTTCGACCCTTTGTATCAATCAAGAAGAGCGTAGGAATCGTGAAAACAACCTGAATGGCGCCATAGCCTAGCGAGGCATAAAGTGCCTGATCCTGCGTGTAGCCGACATTTCTGAAAATGCTCGAGCTGTAAAATGATATGACTGCAAGCTGGTTAATACCAGTCTTGGCAAATAGCCATGTGTCCTTACTGTTAATACCGCACATCTGCTGTGCCAACATGACAGTTGATGCTCCATAGTTCGCTCTCCTAATTCTTGGTACTCTGAAACAGTCCCACAGACGAGCAAAGTATCCAGAGCCTCCTGCTTCCTTGAGTTCCTCTTGATAAATTACCCATGAGTAGTAGAAATCCCGAGCTCCGATAATCTGATGTGCACGAAGTTTGCGCATCGATTGAAAAGCCTCCGCATATCTTCCATGCTTCATAAGCCAACGGGGGGATTCAGGACAGAAGAATATACCGATAGCGAGCAAAAAAGCAGGTATAAATGCGGAACCAAGTTCAAGACGCCAAGCGATATCGCCGATATCCTTGACAATAACGTTTGCACAGAAGCCAAGAAAGATGCCTTTGACTTCTATTTAGCGGTGTATACGATGAAAGAGTTAGAAAGCTTACCAATTACCACCCAAAGCTGCCAAAACATGACAAGAGCCCCTCGGATTCGTGCTGGGGCCATTTCGGCAGAATAGATGGGCACAGTTGCGTTTTTTGCACCAACTCCAATCCCCATAATGAAGCGTGCTGCGAAGAGACCTTGCCAAGATTGTGCACAGCCAGAGCCAATGGGTGTAGCAACCAAGCAACAAGCAGTAATGAAGATTTCGCCTCGGCGACCAAAATAATGGTTCAATGGATCGACAATGAAAGCACCACTAACGCAGTAAGTAAGAAATTCATTGGACATATGACAGCATCACTTACATGAGACCTGCAGTTAGGAAAATAATTGAATTAATTATTCCCACAATCCACTCATCTCTTCCTGAACCATCAATTCCAAATTCCTTTGGAAAGGAGAGATTAGCACCATTGGCACCGGTTTGATCCCATCCCTGGGTGGCTGCTCCAACTGCGCAAAGGCCAATTGAATACCATAGCATTTTTGGGCCATGCCATTTGTGATCCTTCTCATATTGGAGTGCTATTCGTTCATCTTCAAGAAGGTCGAGAGTGTCAATTCTTTCTGGATCACGGGCTACCAGAGCTGCCCGACCGAACAGGTCGGCGCACTCGGCCAGACCATGCGATTCGGCAAAAGACCTGGCATCAGAGACGACTTGGTCCGAAGAATTACGCTGGAAGATAGTCAGTGTGAATAACGATGATCGTCTGGGCAAAATAGCTCACTTTCAGAGGGTTATGGACGACGCCAAGGACATCAGAGCTGTGGCGAAGCTCAATTGAACCGTCCAATTCAGACTTTCGCTCTGGAAGATGAGATTGAGGGCTACCATTCTCATCGTGAGAGGTTTGGGCAATGCCCGTGGTGGAATCTTTCTCCATGATATTCACTGCACTTCTAAGACTTTGGGAGCGTGAGGAAACGTAATATCTGACCATGTAAAGCCGACCTGTCAGTCCTCTAATTTATATACTGTGGGTTTGTTCCCCCTCACTTCCTGGGAAAAGGTCTCAATGAGGAGTTCCATCCACCCGATTCTACCATTCAATCCTTCGATCTCGGCGCAGATCACAATCGGGGAAACCTCGGTGGCAAAGCAGGGCTCCATGACAAGAGAGCAGAAAGAATGCATCCAGACAGGTAGTGTACCTACGAAGGCCAAGTATTATTTCGAGGCTGTGCCCTGGCCAAGAATGCCAATGTTTGTTGGCTCCGGAAATTCTTACTGCCCAAGAACTTGGCGTGAATTGCAGTGGAGGAGATAAAGGCAGTTCAATTCGGTCTGTTAAATATTGGCTGCTTGGCGAGTAACGTCATAGATCATTTTCCATACTATCTTGCGGGTTAGTGGGCTTGGTATTTTGAGGTTGTGGAGTCGCAAAAAAACCCCTACTAAATTTTCTCTACGCGACCGAATCATTGAATGTTATGTCTTGGATGTAGAAAGTGATTCAGCCGGAACTTACATACTGACTAAGACACCTCGAAAAAACTACACCTCCGTCGGGGTATTTCTTGTTAGTTTGTCAAGGGTGAAGATACTGAAA